TATACCCTTTTGTCCTATCAGCTCCACCAGCACCTGAAAATGAGCCATTGGTCTGCTTCAAGGCCTTTCACACATTGTAACATGAAAAATAAAAACTCAGAGACTGATACTGATGTTCAAGCTGAGGGTCAGATAAGTAAAGCAGCCAAGCCACTAGCTCTTACCTCTACTGAAAGGTCTGATCTTGTCTCCTAGAGTTCTCACCAAGCCTCAGACTGCTGCCTCTCCTCAGCATGGCTGGAGAATCAATGCCTTCCTATCCTTAATGTGGTTGGAGAATGAATGCCAGCTCTGAGACCCTGTTCCTGTCTGTCTTAAACACCTCTCATGAGTTCAATGATTGAAGACATAAACTCTGTTACTCTTTTAGACTAATCTAATCTGTGTAGCCTTGAGTGGCCTTGAACTCTGAGAGTTCCATCTGCCTTTGTCTCCTGGACAAAGTGCTGGAATTAAAGGTGTGTGCCACCACTGCTTGGCTTCTATGGCTAACCAATGTGGCTGTTTTGATATTTTGATCCTCAGTGGTTTTAATAAGTCATAAACAATATATCACCACATCACACCATCATCACTGGACCAACATTGAAACTCCCCTTGAATATCCTGCTGTTGCCCTGAGTCATTGGGGATCCTGCAGCTATTGTTTCTCAGGACCAGTCATAGATAGAGTAGATGTTAGGTTAGGCCAACCCAAGGTTGCAGCTCAACCTGGAGATCACCATGGCCCTGGTAGCAGTATAGACCACTCAGACCAGTATGGCCCTGGTGGCAGCAAGACCCTCAGACACCAACATGGTCTCAGTTTGCTATTCAGATCCCTAGCATTGGAATGACCTTCTATGGTATCAGGAGGCAAGGACATCAGCATAGACCCTGGCTATGGTAGAACCACAGATTCAGACATGGCCCTCAGTAGCAACACCGGCATGGACAACATCATGGTCCCAGGTGATAGTACAGACCACCCGGAACAGTGTGTTCCTGGTGGTGGCATGGCCACAGGTTGCAGCCTAGACCATGGGCTTCTGTGTGGCCTTTAGGGCCACCACTGGCCACAAACATCAACACAAACCCTGGCTGTTGTAGGACCATGGATCCAGACATAGCCCTTATCAGAAGCCCATCTCTGATATCACCATATCCCTACGTACCAGAACAGGCCACTCAGATAGACATCAGCTAGGTTGCAGGGTGACCCTCATGCCCTAACACAACTTCAGGTATTCCCTACCTACTGACTCTGGCATCCACATGACCCCCCAGTGGTAATAGGCACCACAAATGCAGACCCTGGCTGCAGTAGGGCCACAGATCCAGACACAGTCTCTGGCAGCAACTTGGCCCAGTCAACACCATGGCCACTGATGACAGTGCAGACCACCCAGATTGCTGTGGTCCTAGCCATGACAGGCACCTACCTCAGTTGCCACCATGGCCAAAGTTGGTGATCCAGAACCTGAGCATCAGTGTGGCCTTTCTTGGTAACTTGGCCATGTCAACATGGGATAATAGGAACAGGGCTAGTTGACCATGGAGAAGAACTCTCAACCCATGACCCTAAGCATTTACAAGTTAATTACCTCTGGCATTGTTACAGTGAAGGATTAGTTAACACACAAACTAGTTTCAAATGCTTGCCAGATCTGAAAGATGTACTGCCCCTGTGTGGCACTTGAACATTTAATCACCTGGTTGGAGCTGTCATTATTTTTTATTTAGCCAGGATAAAAATAAAACTATTATGTACTGTATAGACTACATGTAAATGCTGGTAATGTAGAGATGAATAATTTCTAGTTCTTACATTTTAATAGTCCAATCTCTTGAAAGACCTGTCTAAACAAATTAACTACAAATTAATAGTAATTGTTGAAACATAATAAATGAAATGCCATGGAAGCAAACAGCAAGGAGTTACAATCTCTTCTGGGTTTTGAAAAGATGTCTTTAAAGAGGGACCTCTTGAATCAGTTCTTGAAGTATGAGTGGGAATCATCCAGGAAATGGTATTCTAACATAACAGATGCCCATGTGCTCATCTTTACTCCCAACCCAAACATTTAGGCCTCTTGTATGGAAGCTTTCATTCACTGAGGCCTTTGAGGAAGCAGTTTCTTACTTCTGGGTCATTGCAGGAAGCCTACTGGAATCATAAGAGCAATACAAGGGCATAAATTCAATCACTTCAAGAAAAATGGCAGACGAGATGTGGTTAAATCTATATGGTAAATAAGATTTGAAATTGCACATGCTTGTGAGGATAAGAATGGAGTCAGAACAGGCAGGCCTGTGACTCCCTTTTTAAGCATAATGTGTTAGTACTTCGTGGATGTTAATTGGGAATATGGTCTGGGTTTTCTCCATGACAGGCTGTAAATCTTTATTTTAGCTGTGCAGTTTTGCATTAATATGTAATGCCCTTGAAATCTCTACACCTTTTTCTTTCTTAGGTTTTCCTAAGAAAAAAGAAGTTTGAAAAAAAAAAAAGTTATGTGACAGTGTTAGATTTAGCTCATTTAAACAAAGGTCACACACAGCATTGCTGAGTAGTAAACACCATTACAAGATCTTTTTAGTGTCTAGCTGTTTGGAAAACGTGCCTCCATCTGGAATACATGACTGGAGCCTAGGGCTGCGGGACAGATGTGGGCCTGTGAAGTCCATGAGCATCTGGGAAAGTCAGGCATATCAGGTTTTTTTTTTTTTTTTTGTTTTGTTTTGTTTTGTTTTTTTGCTACAGCTAAGAAGTGAATTAAGGCAAAGACCCCACCCTCCACCCCCACCCCCTGCCTTTGCTCGAATCAAGGAGACACTTGCAGGCTTACAGAAGGTCTGTCTTACTGTTTCAACTAGGCTTTTGAGATCCAAGTGGCTAAGAGGGACTTAGGATGCTGCAGTCAGGACTGCAGGCTTACTTTAGTGTTAACCAGCAACACCTGTGTTCTATTCTTGGCCCATTTCCTCCTGTGTTGATAATATCAGCAATTAATGCACTTGGACTTACAAGCTTTACTTTTCAGAGAATACAGCCCTTGGGAAGGTCAGCTAATTAATTTTTGTAATGTTTCAGATTAGATTTATTGTATATTTTATGGCCTTGCAGATAACAGTGATTATTAAATCACAGAAATGTTAAATTACTTTTGAAAGGACTTCCTGTAAGGAACATGATGGAAAACAGACTAAGAATACATGTCTTAGGCAGTCTAAGAAGTTTTTCTCCCAAGTCTCCAGTGCAGGCTCTCTAGTTGCTAAGAAAGAGGAAACTATTTTAAAACAAAGCAATGTTACCAACAGAAACCCATGTGTTTATATGAAGTCACCTGAATTTGTCTGTAACTTCTTAGCTGCTGGGAAGCTGGCTGAATCAAAGCCTTTGGGATATGGTAAGAACATTGGACCCTTACCCATAGGGACTTAATTTAGAATGTTACTTTTGTCACTCATGGCTGCTCTTATTCTGGTCAAGATACTTGGTAACTTGAAGTGACAATTTTCTTAATGTAAAATAATTAATAGCATTTAAGCATGAGCTTTATAGTTCAGGACTTTGCCATCTTTTACTGGAATCACTGCAGCTAGTGTGCAATTGATTTCCTCTGTTATATTCTCACCTGTCTCTCGTCTCTGTTCTACAAATCTGTTGGAGTTGTCTTTTAAAATCATACCAAATTCTTTTGCTTAAAACCCTTTATTGACATCCATTCATATTGAGACTAGCACACTTATATCCATACCACTCTGAATATGTCTGATTTCATCTAACACTGGAAACTAAGTGTGGTCAGGCCTGGTTAGTATTTGCATAGGAGAATAAAACATAAATTTCTTACTATGGTTTAAAAGGCCTTCAACCCTTGGTTGAACCTAGTCCTGGTTCAACCTCTGGTGTCATCCTGCCAAGATGTCTTTCCTTGATATAACTGGCTATAGACCAGATGAGTTTGTTCTATGTTTAGGCGTTTGCCTATATCTAAACAGCTCCATATTTATTTACTGCCTTGAAGCTCGGGGCAAATATTTTATATATAGTGTTCATCCTCAACTACTTGATCTACAGTAGCTTCTGTTATCAGTTTCATACAATCTTGTACATTCATAACACATTACAGTGTGAATTTGTGATATTAGTTATTTGTGTAACTTTTCTCAATTTCTTCCTACCTTAACGAAGGACAACAATTTGACTATTTTCCTTAGAGTGATTTCCCTGAGTTATGAGTGCTATTGCACAATCTAGCATGTACTAGATACTTAGTGAATAAGTTTTTGTTGAATAATGAATACATTTAAATTCGATAATACATGAAAGTGTTAGCTCACATCATGACTAAATTTGTTGTTTATATTCTTGCTTTGGGAACTTCTCTATTCATTCTATTGTGTTCTATTCTATTCTATGCAGAATATTCTCCTGGCCAATAGGAAATAATGATGAGAATAGCTTATAGCTATTGAGTAAAAATTAGATGAGACACACAAATTATTTTAAACAAATTAACCTAATTTACCAACCTCTATGATATATACTATTGTAACTGATTAGTAAAACAAAGGATATGAAGAAGAGTAAGGTCAAGTAAGGAACTAAGACAACAGGTCGATAAAATGGGCTTTAGGCTGAGACAACTGAATGCCACATTCAGAATCATATCACTAATCTACTCAAAACCCCTTTGCTGGCCCAACAAAGTCTTCTAGCAGTTAGAGAACTCTGCTACTTTCTATTCATTTACTAAGATGCATGTTAATTCAACACTGGGTGAGCATCATTTGCAATCTAGGCACTGATCTAGGTTCCAGAACTGAAGAATGTAACTGCTGTCTTTTGAGAGAAAGAATTAAAAAGTGAAAGAAATGTGAACACACTCGATTTTCCAACACTTTCAGCAGAATATCAGACATTTGATAAACTTCAGTAGAAATTTACATATTTTATAACTTACGATTGTCCTTTTATGACAAATGATGGGCTTAGACATTTACAAGGTAAATACCTGATTTCTCCAAGCACTGCCCCAGCTTTCAGAGTAATCAGAACTTGAGCACCATCAGGGCCTCCAAGAACTTGGACTTCTCCATGCTTGATGACATACATTTCCTTACCAATTTCTCCCTAAATGCCTCATGAGAAAAGGAAATTGTAGTCATTTTATTTTTTAACAATTATAACTCAAATGAAGAAATCTAAGATCCTGTAGAAGAGCAAATACAAATAAAAGAAGTAAGGAATATCATTGTGAAAGTATTTTTTAAAGACTGGTCAGTGTGTTATTTCAGGAGGAGGCATGGGCAGATGATGTAGCTCATGATATGGACAGCTGAGTTTTCTCCCTTTGGTCTTCACTGCTCTGCCCTAAAGAAGATGCTTAGTGTAACAGAAGAGCCCAAGTTCCAACCATTCAAAGTCAAATCTATCTTCTGCCTGTGTCAATGAGGTATGATTTGGGAAAGAGGCAACCTTGAAGCTCTTACTCCAGACTGTGACAGTACAATTATTTTCACTAAGTTCTTGTTTGTATTTGATGAATTTCAAATTCAGAGCAATAACTAACAATTGACCTCTTAGAATGTCTGTATAGTTCCTGAAAAATGATGCTATTTTGTACCTCCTAGACAGATACAAATTAATATCAATAGAATAGGAAAGTTGCCAAAACCATATGTAGCTATTTTAAACATTTAATGTAAATAAAATGATTTTTTGATATGTCCCTGCTGTCTAAACTAGTAGTTATATTTCCATTCCCATTTAAGAATTGTTAATACAATTCTTGTATGGCATGTTTAGTTTTTGTAGGTTAGAATCACTTAACATTATTTAACAAACATATTTATAGCTTCATATATAGTATATAGCAAAGACATACAGTTGGGGATACTGACAAATTAAGTTGCATTGATTATAGTTTATGCTCTGTCATAACTGAGGCAGAGTCTACTTTGTTCCAGTGCTGAGTGCAAGGCATGATGTATAAAAGGCACTTATTTATGAATGAAGAAAACATAATTTAACTGTTTCTGGGAGTTCTAAAGTCCTGTGATACCTAGGGTTATTTTTCTGAAAATCAAGTGCTTTATAATTGTCAGGTTGGAGTATACAATTATGAAATTTCACCTCTTAATTCATATCTGAAAACCCAAAATTTTTATTCTTAACATATATTTATATGAAATATAAGTTGAAGCAGAAGTTAAAGTATATATGGGTTTATTATAGCTATTGATATACTTTCAATGTTAATAATTTGCCTTTGTGAGTACTTTGAAAATTTACCAAAATTGGAGACTATAGAGATAGCTCAGCAATTAATTCTTTTCTTTTTTTTTTTTTTTTTAATTTTTCAAGACTGAGTTTCTCTGTAGCTTTGGAGCCTGTCCTGGAATGCCCTCTATAGACCAGGCTGGTCTTGAATTCACAGAGATTTGCCTGTCTCTGTCTTCCAAGTGCTGGGTTTAAAAGGTCTACACCACCACTGCTTAGCTCAACAGTTAATTCTTAGCACTCACATTAGGTGGCTCACAACTGCCTTAATTCTAGCTCCAGAGGATCTGATGCTCTTTTTGATCTCCTGAACACCTGCATGCATGTAGTATATACTCATGCAGAAATGTATGCATATACATAAATAAAAATAAATCTTAAAAAATCATCAAGATAGTGAATATTTGCATAGCTCCTCTTTTTTTTTTTTAAATCACATATTTATTTCTTCAGAGCACAGCACTTTTAATCTGGAAAATATTTTGTACTTCATTTAATTCTTGCAAAAATCCCAATGACAGATGTCTCTTATTTCCTCTTTTATTTTGAAATTGGAAATAGAGGCTAAGTAAGCTAAGTGTCTCAAGCAAAAATACAAAGCTGGCAAGTGACAGCATTAAAACTGACAACACATATGTCACCTGACACACATACAGATATACTATATCTAATGATGAGTACAGTATCAAAACTGAGATCTTAATAACCAGTGAAAAAATATGAACAATTTAAAAAATAAAGTCATTTGAAGGGATCAGTAGGCCAGGGTCATATTTCTATTATTATAGTTCTTCTTCTTGCATGAAGTAATTTCAAGGAGCTGGAATGGAATGATGTTTCAAAGATAGTTATTACAACTGACTGGAAGTACAAGAACATAATGGGTACTTAAATATAGTTCAGTATTTCTAATTATTTTTAATGATCATTTTGATAATTTCCCAAGGAGATCAGGTATAATCAATGAGTCCAAACTCTACTATCTCTTGCATATTCTGGGTTAATTTAAACTTTTTTTTTGCAAGTTTAATTAGATTCAGATGAAGTAGACATCACTTCAAGAGAACAGAGGCTGACAGCATATATAAAGCAAGATCGAATCTGACATGACTGCTTCATGTGCTAATTTGGAGAAAGTTGAAAGGCATGCACTTCAGATAGAGCAAGGTAACTGTTAATGGGTGTGTATGCCCCCAAAATTGGGATTCTTGTTATGGGAGGCTATTTCCAAGGCCAGTGGAGAGCATCATGGCATACATGATATCTTATCAGAGAAGAGCAATGATACAGTGTGACCCCTGGACTGACCATTAGCACCATGAAGAGCTTCTTTGGAGGCTGAAACTCTCAAAACCCCACTGCAGAAATATTGGATGAGATCTTTGGCAATTAAGTCTCAGATGTCTAAGCCTTGAAAATGTAGTGATATATTATTTATGAATTATTTAAGTTTGCTGAAGAATTCAGAAAGCAAAGTCAGCCACAAGCTGTAGAAGCCAGGCACACACCTTTAATCCCAGCATCCAGAAGCTAGGAGGTGGTGGTACACACCTTTAATCCTAGGACTCAGGATTAAGAGGTAGGTAGATATCTGTGAGTCCAAGGACACCCAGATCTACACAAGAGTGAATCAGTCTAACATAGAATTATATCTCACAACTTTAATCCCAGGACTCATAAGAGATATATAAGACAGGAGCAAGGACTCAGGATCAGGCATTCATTCTCCAGCCAAACTGAAGATAGGAGGCATTGATTTTCCAGTCTTCCAGATAGGAAGGCTCAATGTCAAGTAGTGTAGGAAGAAATTGAAGTCTCAGGATTCTCCAGTCACATTGAGAGGCAGCAGTTTGAGGCTTAGTGAAGAGCTCATGCATGCATTAGCCCTTTCAGCTTGAGCTTGAGGTGACAGCTAGTGGCCAGCTGCTTTGCTTCCCTAATCTTCAGGTTGAACCCCAATATCTGTCTCTGGGTCATTTATTTTTTGGGCAACATGGAAAGCTCTGTGATTCAGAGACAGCTGACATGAACAAGGCAGAGCTAATGGACCCCCAGACTGATAGCTGGGAAACCAGCATTGGACTGACTCATATACCCTGAACATGGGTCTCAGTTAGAAGGGCTGGACAGTATAAGGGACCTTTGACAGTGGAACCAGGATGTATCTCTGGTGCACAAAAGGACTTTGTGAGCATACTCCCCATGGAGGGATACTCCTTTAACCTAGAGGCAGAAGGGAGTGCCTAGTCCAAATGATTTGACAGATTTTGTTAATCCCTCCTAGAAGGCATCCTTCCCTGTGGAGTTGGGGGGGTGGGGTGGGGTAGGAGGGTGTTGGGGGGGATGGGAGGGAGGGAGAGAGGGGGAGGGAGAGGGACTGAGAGGGAACTGGGATCCATATGTAAAATAAGAAAAAAATTAAAATAGATGAAATTTCACACACAAAAAGAAAAGAAAAGAAAAGAAAAGAAAGAAAAGAAAAGCTCTGTGGTTATGTTATGTATGGCAGCAGAGCATCCCAAGAAAACTCCTAAGTTGTCTTGAAGTTTAGAATATCAGATCTGAACCTGGCCATTGCTTCAGTTATTTAGGTAACCTCTTATTGAATATGACTTCTTTTTATTTCCCCTTCTCTGCAAGCATTTAAGGAAATATCAAATTGAATTCAGCTACCTAAACTTTGGTCAAGTAACAGCTATTCTTCTCTCCTCAATATCTAGCATTATACAAATGTTCATTTAAAAATAAAAACAAACCTAAAAACTAAAGCAAAACCAAAAAAGAGTGACTTGTCTTCTTTGCCTTCTGCCTACTCTTCCCTCTACCTTTGTCTTTCCTTTCCTCATCTGTATCTACTCATTTGTTTTTATTATCAGATGAATTTGATATGATGATAAAATTAGAAATGCGAAAGCTGCATCCCATATCTCACACTTTCTTAAGCAAATCTGCATTGTTTCAAGGTGTAAGTGCTAAAGTTTCTGGGTGCTATCTCAATAAGCAGCCCCTTCAGCCACTGGAATAACTTGAATCTGTTTTAGTCTATGCCATTCCAGTGTGACACTGCCCCCAAAGGAACTCTTAAATTGTGCCGTTTCTGTCTTCAGTTTTCCTTCTCTCCCATTTTAATGAGCATGATTTTATTTCATTTACAACCAGTCTGTATTCTACCTGGATGAGTTTATGTGTGTATGTGCTTGGTTTCCAGTATGCTAGAACCTCTCCCTCCTTCCTCTTTTATCTTTGACAGCTCCTTCTTCTCAGTTGCAGTTTCTCATTCACCCTCATTGATCTTTATGATGTTGGTGTCTTCGAAGTTACAGCCTCAGCCTTCTTTTTCATACCATGCTTTGAACACTCAAAGCCAGCTTTCATTATATTCCAGTTGCCAGGCATTCACTTCCAATTTCATATTCTTTCTTCTGATTGATTCCACCTATTTGCTGATGTCTCCATGTGATGTGTTTGAAATAGTTCACACCTCATTTGATTGTGTCTTTCCTCACTATTTTAGTCCCTCATTTGCTTCCATTTCTGGAATATGACAGGTTCTGTCTTGCCTCTCAGATCATTGTTGCAATTTCTCATAAAAAAAATTAGTCCATCGATTTCCTTTTCCTTTTCTTTTACTAAAGGATGATTTATCTTTAGATTTTTTACAAAGGTTACAGCTGACAAACTGACAACTTCTCTCTCCCAACTTGTAATATAACTAAGTGCCTTAATTTTCCACCTTCCTCTACCAACTTCTGTTCCTCTTTATATATGAACACACTTTACAGTTATGCATTCATTTAATTTAATTTTTTGTTTCCTTTCTCTTCAATCAAGTCAGTCTTTCTCATGGCTGTATTTTAGAATCAGATGGAATTTTTTCTTTTTCTTTCTTTCTTTTTTTTTTTTTTTAGGCTAATATGTGGAGTTCATCAGGAGCAGCTAAATGTCTAGGTGTGGAGCCCAGATTCCTTTGTTCACATGATGCAGACATACTGTGAATTGAACACCTTAGTACTAGATTGTAAACCCCTGAAGGACTTTGTTTGGTTTGTTCCAGAATATTAAAAACTGCTTATTGCAGCTGGGCAATGCTGGTGTATAACTTAATCCCACCACTTGGGAGGGAAAAGATAGGAGGATCTGTGAGTTTGAGGCCAACCTAGTCTACAGCCATAGCCATACAGAGAAACCTAGTCTCAAAAACAAAACAAAACAAAAAAAAGAAAAACCCAACAACCCCCCCAAAAGACAAATAAACAAACAAAAACCCTAGCTTTTGAAATAAATTGAAATTGTTTTAACAAATGTCTTATTGTAGTTCTCTACATTCATCCTGTAGACATAAGTTCTTTCCTATCTATCTTGACTCAAACTAGTTCTTTTCCATACTCAGGTAATACTGGGACCACTTTAGTTTACCTCCCAAGAGTTATCATAGGCTTCTTCAGGAAGTATCCCAGCATCTGCCCCTGCTTTTGTCCTATAACCTGGTATTCAATCTGCACCATTTTGGAATGGAGTAAGTGCTTTTTATCTACACCCACTTGTGAACTCTCCAAGGCCTCAGGTCATCTCCAATTTTTTTGTATTGTTCACCTTCCTTTACTTTTAAATTTTATTTGTTTCTTAAAAATTTTTATACAAGTATATAGGACATGTTGAACATATCCTACCATACCCATCTACCTTCCATTTCTTTTGTATCACAGCTGTGAGTATCCTTTGTCCTCCTAGACATTTTACTTTTACTTTAATGTTACATACACACATAATTTTATGTCGCAGTTTTAAATTTAATTTGTTCACATCAACATTGTGTTAGTTTCTCTAGATATACAATTCTGCATCTCATTCTCTCTCTGTTTTGAAAAAAAAATGTGCTTTGTAAATGAACTCCCTGTGTAGCTCCTGCTGACCTTGACCTTGTGTTCTTCTTGCCTCAGCCTTTCCTGAGTGCTCTGATTATAGACACGTTCTTAATTATTAAGATAACGATCAGAGACTGGTGTGCTGACACACACCTTTAATCCCAATGCTCGAGAGGCAGATAGGCAGATTCTTTATGAGTTGCAGGATAGCCTGGCCTATATAGTGTATTCCAGGCCAACCAGGCCAACATAGTGAGACACATCAATCTGTATAGAAAGACAGGCACAATATATGGGCACATATTATTTCTTCATGATAGAATTTCATGTTTGTGGTTTATATGTTTTCTATTTAAGACATAATAAACATGTAATACTTTTATAGTCATAAAATTCATAATTTAAAAATTTGGCATTGATTATCTACTAACTGTATGGGCAAAATTGAAATAACACATTGTTGATGGAAGCAGAAAAAGCAAAAGTACCTATCACTTCTATATTTTGTTTTTCATTAAAAATATTTAAATTTGATTGTGTATTTGATTGGTTATTTACACCTTTTCAAATACCTTTACAGTCTACCTACATGTCTATTCTATGACATATGCAATGGAATTTATATTATTTTGTTTCATTTTGAACTCTGAGCCTTTATTGTTGTTTTGCAGAATATAATATAGAAGTCACTCTGGACAGACTTTATTTCAAATAAATTATTGACCTATGTTCACATTTTTCCAATGCATTATTAACTGTGCACTTGAAAATAGTATGCACTCACCTTTTTGCAGACAAAGTCACCAGGTAAATAAATAGTGGATTTCAATCTTAGCAATAGGTCATAAATCATCTGTGTGTCACAACCCTATATAAGGAGAACAATACTTTTACAGACATGAACAAAAGTAAACATCCTAAATTATTTTAAAAGTATTAAAAGTAAATAGTTAATAGACATCTGTCTTCCTCACTAAATGCTAACTTGCAATGGATATGGACTTGCCTTTTTCTAAACTCTATAGAAAATAAGATACTAATATCAAGAGATTGTAACTTGATGAAGAAATATTTAGGGTGAGTTCTGTCTCTCATACCTATTAGAAATCAATCATGCTCTTGTTCTCCTAAATTGTAAAATGTCTATAAAAATACTCATAAATGAAACTTTACATGGTGCTGAATTAACAACAGCTATTAAAGATTATGCATATGCATGTTCAGATTTTCATAACTCACAGTATTTGCTAAACAGCTTTCTTTTGTAAAACAACATTACTAAAATTTTTGATATTATTTAACTTTAAATTTATGTAAATATCTTTTTTCTCTACCATAATGATAGGAAGATACATATGAAAGCAGTACATATAGCACTTCAAACATTGGTTGGAACCAGAGAGCCTGCATGAGGCCAACTGAAGACCTCTACATATATGTCTATTGTATGTATAGCTTGGTCTACTTGTGAGACTTCTAACAGTAGGAACAGGGGCTATCTCCAATGCTCTGACTGGCTCATGGGAACCTATTCCTCATACTTGATTGCCTTGCCTAGTCTAAATATAATGAGAGGTGCTTATAGTCTTTACTGCAACTTGATAACTATGTGAAACATGTCCCTTTCAGAACAGAAGAGGAGAAACAGTGGATTAAGGCTGAGGGTTGGTTCCAGAGAAGCTAGGAAACAAGGAGGATCCTAAGAGAGACATATGTGGACTGCCCTCACCCCCCCCCCCCCCCAGAAGTGGAAAGGGACAAGATCTCCTGAGTAAATTGGGAACATAGGGGGGAGAGAGGAGAAAGAGGAGGGAAGAAGGGGAGGAGGGACGAGAACATGAGGGATCAGGAAGGTTGAGTTGGGGGAAGAACAGAGAAGGAGAGCAAAATAAGAGAGAGATACCTTGATAGAGGGAGTCATTATGGGCTTAAGGAGAAACCTGGAACTAGGGAAATTCCCAGGTATCCATAAGAATGACTCCAACTAAGAATCTAATCAATAGTGGAGAGGCTACCTTAAATGTCCTTCCCTTATAATGAGATTGATGACTACCTTAAATGCCATCATAGAGCCTTCATACAGTAGCTGATGGAAGCAGAAGCAGAGATTCACAGCTAAGCACTGAGCAGAACCCTCCCTTCCCCTGACTCTTATAATCTTTCTAGTTCCCCTGAGATTCCCTAAGCTCTGAGGGGAGGTATTTGATTCAGACCTTCTCTACTTTACACTCTTGATCTACATGTCTGGCTAGGGGTCTCTACATTTGTTCTCTGAAGCCTCTTTTATGATGACTGAATAAGGCGCTGATCTATGAGTATAGCAGAATATCACTGGAAGTCATTTTATTGATTTTTTTGTTATTTTTTTTTGTTTTGATTAGTTTTGTTTGGTTTTACCCTAAGTCTCTGGGATATCTAGTGTCTGATTCTCTGTTAGATGGAGTAGGTGTATGTAAAATCAGTTATTGTTCAGTCACTCCCACAAGTTCTCTGCCAACATTGTCCTAGCATATTTTGGGGGCAGGACAGATTGTCAAACATTTTATAGCTGGGTTAGTGTCCATGTTTCTCTTAATTTAGTAGCCTCTTGAGTACCTTCCCATACCAAAGAGACTGGAGTGGAGTCTCTATTTATGTACTACCTCTCCTTCTCCATGTTCAATGAGTTGTGTGGATGTTGTCCTTGGCAATGCAGCCCATTGTCAGTTTGCAGACAACAACCCTTTGTCTTAGCATCAGCCTGGGTTGTTTATGAATTTCCACAAGACATCTCTGGCCAATAACTCAACTGAATACAACCCAGTCCCTTCACTGAAAGCCTTGTAACACTCTGTATCCCCCATTACTAGGAATTCTCATTAGGATCACCTTCATAGATTCCAGGAAGTTTCTACTGCACTAGTTTTCCACGACATCCCCCAATGTCCCCAATTCCAATCATCTTTCCCTGAACTCTATCTCTCCATGTTATCTCCCTCCAGCATGATCCCTCCCATTCCAACGTCCACCATCCTCCCCAGTCTACCCATAAAATCTATTCTATTTCCCCTTACCAGGGATATTTATAAGCAACCAGCCCCTGCCAAGACCCCTTCCTCTTTCCCTATCCTCTGTTCATCTATAGATTTTTTGTTAGTTATCATTTACTTAGTGGCTAATATCTACTTATAAGTGAACACATACCACTCGTCTTTCTGTGTCTGGGTTACCTCACAATGATCTTTTATCTAATACTATTCATTTGCCTGTGAATTTCATGATGTTATTTTTTAAACAGCTGAATAATATTCCATTGCATAAATGTACATTTTCTTTATTCATTCTTCAGTTGAGAGACATCTAGGTCATTTCCAGTTTCTGACTATTATGAATAAAGCTGCAGTGAATATAGCTGAACAAATGTCCTGGTGATAGGACTGAGAGTACTTTGCATATATGCCCAAGAATTGTATATCTGTGTCATGAGATAGGCTGATTCCCAATTTTCTAAGAAACCATCATATGGATTTTCATAGTGGCTGTACATTTTGCACTTCTACCAGCAATGAAGGGATGTTCCCCTTGCTCCAACTCCTCATTAGTATGAGTAATAACTTCTGCTACTGATCTTTGCCATTCTGACAGGTGTAAGATGGAATCTTTGTATAGTTTTGATTTGCATTTCTCTGGTGGAGGTATATAATTTCCTTAAGTGTTTCTCAGATGTTTGAGATTCCTCTATTGAGAAATCTCTGTTTAAATCTGTACCACATTTTTAATTAGATATCTAGTTTCTTGAGTTCTTTATGTATTTTAGATATTAGTCCTCTATCAGATGTGGAGTTGGTTAAAAAAAATCTTCCCCCATTCTGTAGGGTGCTGCTTTGTCTTATTGACAAGGTTCTTTGCTTTATAGAAGTTTTTTCAGTTTCATGAGGTCCTATTTATTAATTGGTGATCTTAGTGCCCATGCTGTGTTCTATTCAGAAAGTTATCTCCTGTGCCATTGAGTTAGAGGCTATTCCCCATTTTTCTTCTACCAGGTTCAGTGTGGTTGGTTTTAAGTTGATGTCTCTGATCCACTTGAACATGAGTTTTATGCAGAGTGATAAATATGGATCTATTTGTACTCTTCTACATGCAGAATCAATCCAGTTTGACCAGTACCATTTGTTAAAGGTTAAAGATGTTTTCTTTTTTTCCAAGTGTGTATTTATGGCTACTTCATAAAAAGCAACGAACAAATAAACAAAAATACATATGTCCATAGGTGTGTAGATTTATTTCCGGGTCTTTAATTCAGTTCTATTAATCAACCTGCCTGTTTTTATGCTAATACACAGGTGTTTTAAATTACTATATAGCTTCATAGTACAACTTGAAATCAAGTATGTTACTATCTCTAGCAGATCTTTTTTTTTTTGTTCAGGATTGTTTTACCTGTCCTATTTTTTTTTTTTTTTTCATATGAAGTGGGGACTTGTCCTTTCAAGGTATGTGAAGAATAATTGTGTTGGGATTTTTATGGGGATTATATTGAATTTGTAGATTGTCTTTTGGTAGAATGGCCATTTTCACTCTTACTCCTATCAATATAGGAGAATGGGAGATCTTTCCATCTTGGGATACCTTTTTCAATTTATTTCTTTAAAGACTTGAAGTTTTTAATCATACAAGCCTTTCACTTTCTTGGTTAGAGTTACGCCAACATATTTTTAATTGAGGTAATTGTGAAAGGCATTGTTTCAATGATTTCTTTTTCAGTCTGTTTGCCATTTGCATATGGGGGAAGGTTACTGATTTTGTTGTTGTTGTTGTTGTTAATCTTGTATCTAAAATTTGCTAAATGTATTTATTATACATTTAGCATATGGTGGAAATTTTAGGATTATTTCTGTATACTATTATCTCATCTTCAAATAATGATACTTTGAATTCTTCTTTTCCAATTTTTATATCCTTGATCTCCATCAGTTGCCTTACTGCTCATGCTAAAATTTCAAGTATATATTAACTAGATATGGAGAGAGTTGACAGCCTTGTCTTGTTCCTGACTTTAGTGAATTGCTTTGGGATTCTCTCCATTTAATGTTGGCTATAGGCATGCTGCATTATGTTTAGGTATAGCCCCCCTTTTTTTCTATTCATTTTATTTATTTATTTTTTTCTTATAAATCGATCCCAGTTTCCTCTCCCTCCCATCCTCCTATTTTCCCCTAGGCCCCCTCCCATTCTATTCCCCATCCACTCTGCAGAGCGGGTGAAGCATTCAATGAGGGATCATCAAACTCAGTCAAATCATTTGGGGTAGGGCCTAGGCCCTCCCCCATGCCTCTAGGCTAAGGGAGTATTCCTCCATGGGGTATGTGCTCCCAAGGTCCTTTCATGCACCAGGGATACATCCTCGTTCCACTGTCAGAGGTCCCATAGACTGCCTTCTAACTGAGGCCCACATTCAGGGGGGTCTGGGTAGGTCCTATGCTGGTTTCCCAGCTATCAGTCTGGAGTCCATGAGCAACCCCTTGTTCAGATCAGCTGTTTCTGTAGGTTTTTGTAGCCTGGTCTTGACGCCTTCACTCATCACTTCTTCCTCTCTGCAACTGGATTCTAGTACTTTAGCTCTGGATGTCTGCTTCTGTTTCCATCAGCTACTGAATGAAGGCTCTAGGATGGCATATACGGTACTTATTAATCTCATTATCAGGGAAGGACATTTAGGGTAGCCTATCCACTAATGTTTGGGAGAAAGAGAAGGGGAGAAGAGGAGAGGAGAAGAGGAGGGGAGAGGAGAATATGAGGGGAGGAATAGAGGAGAACAAAAAAAAAAAAAATAGGTATATCCTTTTTATCCTCAATGCCTCCAGGACTTTTATGATGAAAGGTGTTTGA